GCCCCGCCCCCGGCGGCGGGGGGGCCTGGCCCGGCCGCCAGCCAGCCGGTGGCAGGGGAGGAGGGGCGAGAGGGCGGGGCCTGAGCTCCCCCGGGGCGCGGCGCCGTCTGTGTCCACGCGCCCCTGCCACCCAGGACCCTCCTTGCTTTTCGAGGGACACTGCCGGGAGCTGGAAGGAAGGTCAGAAGCGGAGTTGGGGGTGAGCTGTGACCACTTGGGGAAACCGAAGGTCCGGGAGGTCTAGGTTGCCCCTCTGCGGTGTGTGCCGTGGGGCGCCAGCGTTCTCTCGCTCACCAACGCCCCCCACAGGCCTCTGGGTTCCCTCCCCGCTGTCTCCAAGCTGTGCGGCTAGTCCCTGCGCTCCTGTAAGGATTGCTCGTAGCGGTTGCGGCTGTCGTGTCAAAACGGGCAGCGCACTCCACAGTTGGCACCCCCAGTACCCACGAGAGCTCAGAGGAGCAGGCACTGTGGAAGCAGAAGCAACTCGCCAAGCTTGGGGTCAGAAAGGGAACTCACATTTATAGTCCGGCTGCGAGTCAAGCGCAGTCAGATGCTTAATAGGCATTGTTTTATTTAGTCCTCCTAACAATCCCGAATTGGAATTACTGTCTTCTTTAAGAAAGAGGACACCCGCGCGGAGAAGTGAAGTCGCTTGCGTGAGCGCCTTAGTCGGTCCATGGCTGAGCCGGGATTCAAACCCAGGTCTGCAGGGCTCTCTGTACTTGAGCTTTCCTCTCAGAGAGCCAGAAGCTTAAGGGTTAAGTTTTGATACTTGAGAGCATAATGTGAGTAAGGCGTTTGACTTATTGGAGCCCCAGTTCACTTCCCTGTATAATTAGAAAATACTGCCACCTGAATTTTGTGAGAATGAAATGAACAAATATGAGGGGACTTCAAAGAGTTCCTAAAATATAAAAATAGAAAAAATAGAGTTTATTTGGACTCAAACAAATTTAACCCATGTATATAAATTATTAGAATACGCATTTCCATGAACTTTTTTTTTCAGAGAGGTTTTTTGCTATAGGGGGCGTGGGCTCGCCAGAAAGACAGAGAGAGACAGAGACAGAAAGCGAGAAATCACCCCCCAGGGGAGATGGCCATGCCACAATCCTTCTCCTCCATTCTCCTCTCGGGATCTTGGGCATGCACACACACGCGCCCAGTGTGAGTTTAAGCCACCAGGTCTGGGACTCAACCCACAGTCAACTATGTGGGAGTCCAGCCACATAGCCATTACACCAACTGCTGGTTCCCATTTCCGTGAACTTTTTGAAGACCCCTGTATGAGAACCCCCTGTACAAACTGTAAAGTGCCCTTCACATATCACCGAGTTTCTGTTCTAGGCATTGGATGTTTAGACAATACTCGAAGGAGTAGTTACAAGGTGCTAGGGTGGGCACTATACCCAACTGGGGAGTTTGCATTTTCCCAGGAGGATGGGTTGGTCTTGTAGATTTCATGCCCGGGCATGCCAAAGTGTGGAGAGGGTAGAGACTGCAGACTGAAAGAGTAGGTAGGGTAGGATTTAGCGATGAACTGGAGAGTGGGTGACACCAAATATCCTGCCCAGACATTGGGACTGAGGCTGAGGTTGAGGGGCCTGGGAGGGTTCTGGGCATAGTTGACCTTATTTGCTTAGGCAGATCTGCTGGCTGCAGCATTGTAGAGAAGGAGGCCGGTCAGTGGAGCAGGTAGGAGCTGTGGCAGTCAGCAGGAGAAAGGCAGGGGTAGTAGGAATAGAGAAGAGGGGGAAGAGGGGGAAAATAAGAGGAAAAATAGACACCAGTCCGTAAGCTTAACCACAGAATTACCCTACTAAGCCACCTTTTTAAAAAATTTTCAGGAGAGGGCCAGCTCCACAGCCTAGTAGTTAAGGGAGCCCAATCCTACATAACACACCAAAAAACATACCAGGCCCCAAATCCTAACAGGATGGAGAAATAGAGGAGAAGGGATTGCAGCGTGACCACACCCCATTGAATGCTGATTTTTCTTTCTTTCTCTCTGGTGAGCTCAAGTACCTTCTAGCAATTAAAATTTTTTTTTCCAGGAAAAACTTATCAAAATAATTATTTTTATAAAAGGTCCATAAGTGGAGAGGGCTAAGCTCTCAGAAGCCATCTTGCTCTGCCTGGGGCTAAGCTCAGAGGGCACTGAAACCTTGCCTGCTCTGTTGCTGTCTCACATCTTCATGAATCGTTTTTCTGGGAATTGCTCTGACTGTAAGACAACACACATGAGATAAGTATGCGCTAAATCTTCTTTGGTGCAATATCTAGTAAGACCTCAGCCATACTTCATCCAGTATTTAGAAAAAAGAAGGCCAATTGGCTCCATTGTGTGTGTGGGTGACGACACAGCAGAAAAGCGTGAGAGATGCCCTGACACCACTAGAGGGCGATCCAGTTCTCCCCTTCAAAGAGTAGGGCCAGGCCTGTCCTATAGAACTTCTTCCAGAAACCCAGTCTCTGACACCCTTGCATTTCTGAAGCATCATCTCCAGGAGTCTTAGCACAAGTTTGCCAGGTCCTCATATCAAATACAACCATGCAAAAAGGGCGCCCCGCAATGGCTGAGTAAGTTAGTCTGCCACACACATTCATTCACCAGGTGACTGTACAGTTTGTGGCCAGCTTCCTTTTTCCTCACAGTGAGTCAAACAAGGGCTGGCCTGCTGGTGCAGAAGTAACTGCTTAACCCATGCTGGAGCCACATGGGAGGTTGCAGGTGCATTTCCTGATCCACCTGTGCAAGTCAAGGGCCCTGTGTGGAGACTCCGCTGACGCTGAGATCCTTGTCTCTGTCATTCTCAAGAAAGATATAAATAAATCTTAAAAATGTAAGTCAAATAAAATTGGTCCTCTTTATGATTAGCTGGTCAAATGGGACTATTGGTCCTTGGCCAAGGGTGTTCAGTAACATTTTCTTTGTGTACCAATATTCAGTGAGTTATAGGTATAAAGAGATATCTGTTTGCGTAGTGGGTGTTTTTTATATCACATGTGATTTCAAAAACAATTTTTTGTTGTTAAATCAAGTTAGTCTAGGAGCCAGCCCTATAGCACAGTAATTAAGTGCCGTGTACTGGGCACCAGATCTCACATGACCAACCATAGTTCGAATCTCAGCCTGGTGGCTTGAAACACACACTGGGCACATGTTCATATATGTGCACGTGTGCCCAAATTCCTGCTAGGAAGGATAAATGGAGGAAAAAAGATTGTGGCATGACCACACCCTGTTGGAGGGGTTCTCTCTCCCTCACTTTCTCTTGTACACAAACCCTCTTACAATTAAAAAAAAAAATTAAACTAGTGTCAATCGTTAGGGGTTTACTACTTATAGGAGACTTACTCTGTAAAGAACATCAAAACCCAGTGTGAGTGTGGTCTGTTTTGGTCCATTTGCCCTGGGATCCAGCTCTTGTCCTTACCCCTCCTCTACTCTATAAGGGGAGGGGACCAACCCACAAAGGATGGCTTTACAGGTTCCCAGATTTGCTGACTGGGATTGGCCAGTGGAAGTACTGTCAAGAGAATGGAGTGACAGAAGGGAGATACAGGGTATTTTTCACTTTCTCTCTACCTCAGGTGACTTTTCCAGCAGTGGTCGGGTCTTCTGTATGGAGAGGCTTCCTGAGGCTGCAGCTTTCACTGGATGGCCTGCTCCCTCGGTAACTCTTCATCCTCCTGTCGCTTCAGTTGAGAGTGGTCGTGCTTCTTGTACTTGCCCTTCTCCGGGTCTGCTTTGCCATCCCATTTGGCTCTTGATCCCTCCACTATGTGACTGACTCTCTGCATCGTAACCCTCCTGCGGCAAACACCGGTAATGTGCTCCAAGGTTTTCCTCATTCTTCTGCAGAGGCCTAAGTCCAGGCCTAGAGAACTGTGTATGACATTGGTAAAATGAGTAATGTATATGACTGTCCTCATGACCTCTTTCCCAAAGAGCAGTGTGGTGTGGTGACAAAAACTGAGGCTTGAACACCAGGTAAATCTGATTTCACATCCTGCCTAAGTCACTAGCTCTCTGTATGTCAGCTATGGTTTGAATGTGTTCCCCAAATTCATGTGTTAAATTTAGTGAGCTATTGTGATGGCATTAAAAGGGTGAGAACTTAGTTTGACTAGGGGATTAAAAAGTGGAGCTTTTTTAAAGTTTATTTTATTTATTTCATAAGAGAGAGTAAGAGGGATACCGTCAACACGGTTTCACAATGCTACAGTCCTTTAACTAGTTGGAGCTTGGGCAGAAATGCCTGGCATGTTCCAGGTTGACCGGGGGTCTGAACCTGCACTTAGTCATGTGTTTTCCAGCACTGCCGATTGGTAAGTACCGGTGCCAAGCAGCTGAGCTAAGGGTTTGGATGAGGTTATCAGGGTGGGGCGCCCTCCTGAACACTGGGGGGTCTGTGAGAAGAGGGAATGAGGCAGAAACATGTAGACACAGACAAGCTGTGCTCGGCTCAACCCCGGGCCCTCTGTCACATTACCCACCGGCAGCAAGACCATCACCAGATGTGGTCCCTGCACCTGCGATTCCCAAAACCATCAGCTAACTTAACTTCTATTCTCTTAAATTAGCCAGACTCACGTATCTCTGTTATTAGTGACAGAACAGCCTAGAACAGTGGCCTAGGGTATGCTATTATTATCAATATCATCATCATTGTTTAATACCAGTGGAATAATCTTCAGCACTATTTGAAATAAGGCCAAACCAGACTGCGAGTGAGAATTAGACATCGATTCAGTGTTTATGTAGTTATATAAAGAGAAATGATTGTTTTTTTCAACTTTGTTTGACTCCTATGACTTATTCAGGGCTATATTTCATTACTTGCTCTATACTCATAGACAGAATCAGAGGCAGAATTTCTGCACCCTCCAAACCTTGTCCTCTGTCCAGTGTTTTCCTTCATTTTAATACACAGGCACATTTAGAATATGAAATTATCCTTGTTTTAAGTCATGAGAAATCATGCTCTGGAAAAAGTGGAAAGCAAAGGACACTTTATTAGTGGACAGTTCTTTGGCACTTCAGGAAAGTTCTGGTTAAATAGGGATAATTTGGGCCACACACTCTGCTAAGATACTGAACTCCACAGGCTGGGACCACAGGGGAGGCTTGAGTTTGAGTCCCCAACACAGTTGCATATGCCTTTTGTCTTAGTGATTTGGGGAACTGAGGAAGATGGCTCTGAGGTTTGTCATTTGAATACGTACTTTGGTTCAGGTAATCACCTGACCTCACAAATTTGAGGCTGGCCTGGGCCACACAATGAGACCTTGTCTGAAAAACAGAGCTGAGCATGATGGCATATGCCTAGGGCCCCAGCGAGGAGGTCGAGAAAGGAAGCGAGACCCCCAACAGAGCGAGACCCTGTCTTAAAGGCAGGAGGGACAACGTGAAGCTGAGGCATGCATCTAACACTGGGGGAATGTGGGTCCCTTCCAACTTCCCTGCAAAGCTAGTGCCCAAATGTCACATGGGACTTGAAGCAGGCCAGTCCTCCAAGGACCCACAGGTCCTATCTTGTGGTTGGGTTAGCAGTTATGCCCAGTGATAGTGGTCATAGTGGTCAAGGTCCAGAGGTCCTTGAAACTTGAGGACATTAAAATCACCTGGTGAGAGTATTAAAAGTACAGATTCTCTGGCCACCTCCCCCGAGATCTGATTTTAAATGTATGGAGGCTAGACGGTGGTAGAACAGTAATGCCACACTCAACAAGGCTGACTCACAGGGGAAGTTCCAGGTTCACTTCTAGAGAACTCCCTGAACACACAGGGCACATGCTGAAGGTCCCAGCTGGCTGAGGCTGGGGGTGAGTCATGGCATAAAGACTTTGTTGTGGGTTCATGCTCACTCAACATATGTGACCTATAGCAGAATTAAAAAAAAAAAAAAAAAAAAAAAAAACACTGTTCCAGCCCCTTGGGAGCCTACTACAGAAGGATCATGAGTTCAAGGCCAGCCTGGGCAACATAATGAGACTCTTTCTCAGATAAATAAATAAATAAAGGTGTGGAATGGAGCCCTGGAGACTGTATTTCTTATTTATTTATTTAGCCTGTGGGTGTGCACACTCACCGGAGAGTGTGTGTGAGAGAGGGAAAGCAGCCCTCAATGGTCATGCCACATCATTTCTCCTCCGTTTCTTCATCCTGTCGAGATTTGTGGCATATAAGCACACACACCTGGTATGTTTTTCAAGGCTCCAGGGCCAGGATTCAAACCACAGTCAGCTATGTGGGATCAATTTCTATATGAGTAGTATTAACTGCTGTGCCATCAAGCTGGCTCTGGGGTTTGTAATTTGAATATGTACTTTGATTCAAGTAATCACCTGATCTCACTTAGTGTTTCTAACACCATTCCGAGTGGCACGTGCTGATCCTTTGCATTTCCTCCTGTTCATACCTCCTTCCAGTGCTTTAAGAGACTGACCTATTGGGACCAGCAGTCAGCATAATGGCTATGTTGCTGGACTCCCATGTACCGACCATGGTTCAAGTCCTGGACCCAGTGGCTTAAACTCACACCGGGCGCGTGCGCGTGCATGCCCAAGATCCCAAGAGGAGAATGGAGGAGAAGGGATTGCGGCGTGGCCATCCACCCTGGGAATTGATTTCTCACTTTCTGTCTGTCTTTCTGGTAAGCGCACACGCCCTATACCAAAAACCTCTCCCCAAAAAAAGAGAGTGACCTATTTTCATGTATGTGTGAAACGCTGGATGATAAAGATTAACTCAGGTAAGCCTGCACTGGAGATCACGTCCCTCTAAGGCGTCTCCTGGACCCAGTCTTTTGAGAGTAAAGCTGAGACTCCTGCCTGACCTGAGAACAGAGGAAGGAGATAGTGGAGGTAGAAAGAGGCCCATTGCCATGACCAACACTTCTTCTGAGAGGCGAGATGTTCCCAAAGGAGCAGTTCGGAAGCATTTGGGTTTTTGTTGTTGCTTTTGGTCACAACAATCAGGCTGGGGGCACTACAAGCATTTAAGTGCATGTGGGAGGAGAGTCAGGAATGCTACGTGTCTAAAGGTCTTGCAATGTGGTCAGAGAAGAATTGTCCCACCTTCTGTATAAATTCTGAATGCCTACTGAAATATTCATGTAAGTATAAAGGTTGTTTATCATTATCTGAGCCTAGAAGTAACCATGTTACACATGAACACAATATTATTACATATGAAAATCTATTTTTAAGGTTTTTTTTAAAGTATTTAAAGAATTATTTTATTTAATCTTGTTCATCATTTTTATTTTATTTTTATTTTTGATTTGACCAGAGAAAGACAGAGGGAGAGAGAGGGAAAGTGATCAAGCAAGCCGCCAACCAGCTGCTCCATAATTTTTTTTTTAATTGCCAGAGATCATGTACTTGCCAGAGAATGAGTGAGAGAAAATGATCAATTGGGTGTGATCATACCACGATTCTTTTTCCTCCATTTCTCCATCTCATCAGAACTGTGGACATGCACACACATGAACATGGTGTGTTTTTCAAGCCTCTGTGGCTGAGACTCAAACCATGATCAGCCATTTGGGATCTGGCTCCTTATGCATAGGACTTAACTGCTGGGGCTGGCCTCTTAAAAATTTTTTTAGGGGTTGGCAGGCAGCATGGTGGTTGGGGCTTAAACTCTCACTGGGCACATGTGCGTGCGTGCCCAAGACCCTGAGTGGAGAATGGAGGAGAAGGGATTGTGGCATGGCCATCCCCCCTGGGTGGTCATTTCTCGCTTTCTGTCTCTCTCTCTCTCTCTTTCTCGTGAGTGCACGTGCCCTATAGCAAAAAACTCTCCAGAAAAAAAATAGGTCCCTGTCGTTCTGTCTCTTTCATGGAAGAAATAAATAAACTAAAAGATACCAATTTTCATTAATTTTTAAAATTGATAAATTATAATTATATTACATCTATAGAGCATGATGTCATGTATACACGCACACACTATGGAAGTTTTTTTGAAGGTTGTCTTAATATCTACTGAATTCTTTTAGGAATGCAGCTATAATAAAAATGAAGAGAGTACTTCATTTTATTTTGAGACTTGCAGTGCCTTTTACATCATTTCGTCATTGAGGCAGTATCACTCAAGGCTCTGGAGTCGGCAGTCTAACACACACACCCGTGTTTGTCTGCATGCTAGCACTTGCCCCTGGGTAGATAATCTGACTACTCCACTGTATATTTTCTAGTGTGTTTGTACCTACACTTCATATGTTGAAATACATATTATTTTGTTTAAATTGTTAGATTTCTTGTCATTTCTCTTTTGTATTACCATTAGTGCATTATGTTGATTTTTAAAAATATATGTTTAAGGGAGTGATATACACACAATGATTTCCATTTCAAGTAAAGGGCATTTGTGAAAAGGGATCGTTGAAGCCGGCACTGTTGAGAACCGAGTGCCTGTCCAGGAGCGGAGCTGTCTTGGAGGGTCCCCCCTAGTGGTAGATGTTGGATGGTCACCCTCCCACAAGGAGAAAACAGAATCTCCACGTGTCAGCCCCAGGGAGGTCCAGAATGGGGATTCTGTGTAATTCAAAATAGCTCTACTCGATTCTGAAAGACTTCCTTTCATCAAAGGAGGTAGAATTCCCGACAAGCTTTGACACATTTACTAAACATGGAAATGAAATTCAGACTCTTTTCCTCTGGCAACATAACTGCCCAAATTTTAAAAATTATCTTTAAAATCTGGGCCGATTCTGACACAATGGTAATATACTGCTCAAGAGAAGCCAGACCCCAGATTCCACATGGCAACTGCAGTTTGGATCCCCAGCCCAGTCAGTCTGAAACACACCAGGCGTGTGTGTACCAGTGTTCAAGTTATGGCTGGAGGGCTGGAGGAAGGGGATTGTGGTAAGATCAGACTCTGAGAAGGGATCCTTTCTTTCCTCTTCTCCCCTCTCCCTTCCTCGCCCTCCAGTGCCTGTGCCTATATTTGGGCCAGCTGAGATCCGCTGGATTTATGGTGTGGTGGTTCTGTTAGGGGTGCCTTCTGTCTCTCATTCTCACATGGAAAAAATCAATAAACTTTAAAAAATAATAAAATAAATAAAATAGAGCTGCTCTGGCATTCTAAGCTTAATGCACAGAGAAAATATGCCATCAAATAGGAAAATGAATCAAAGTGGTTTACCTCATCTGATCAGGAGCATGTGTGTTCCAAACACTTTGGGGGCATGAAAGGTTATGTTGTCACCCCTGTAACTGTGAACATCACGGATTTTGCCATGTAGTTTCTGGAATGTATGGCATTTCTTACACTGGCTTTTGTTGTAATTCACCATTGCTTGTTTCTCTTCTGACAGAATCATTCCCCTTCAGAACAGAAAAGGAGATCTGAAGTAGAAGATGTCAATAACCACTTCTCTGAGCTGCCTTTGGCTTTCCAGCCCGACTTTAATTCTCATCTTTATGTACAAAAACAAGGGTAGGTTTACATGGAAAGCAAAACACAGGACAATAGATGGATTCCTAGAAGGTTCCATAGCAGATAGTGTTTATGGAGTAAGTTTCCTGCTTAATTCAGGAGACAGGACTCTGTTCAAATTTAATTTGCTTTAACAAAACAAGGAGTCTTTGAAAAGTTTATGGAAAAACTCCATAAAGTCACACATTAAAAACACATTTTAGAAATCAGCAAGTGGCATGGTGATTAAGGTGCTGGACTCCCACATGGCTGGCTACGGTTTGAATCCTGAATCTGGTGGCTTGCTTTCTCATTTTCCCTCTCTCTGTCTCTCTCTGGTAAGTGCATGCGACCTATAGAAATTTTAATAATAATAATAAAATTAAATAATTATTTTTTGAAAAACACCACACTTTGGGACTAGCAGATGGCATGGTGGTTAAGGCACCACATGGCCAACCACGGTTTGAGTCCTGGACCTGGTGGCTTGCTTTCTCACTTTCTCTCTCTGTCTCTGTCTCTCTCTGGTCAAATAAATAAATGAATGAATAAATAAAATAGTTTTTTAAAAATCACATTTTAATTATTATTTCTATGTGAAATTACATTATGCAAATTTTACCAATGAAGAGTTACAATGATGTGGATTCTATGCCTATACACAAAGATTTGTTTGGTTACCTTGGCCAACATAGTTCTCCCTGGGCCTTCGAGTCCTCATCTATAAAATGAGGGAGTTAAACTCAAATGAATTTTAACATACTTTCCAGTTTTATAAATCTGAGAATCGAAGTAAATTTGTAAACATAATTTTTTTAAATTATCAACATGGAATTATCCATAGTAAGTCATAGGACTCTGTTCACTCTCAGACAAAATTACACAAAAAATGTAAACCAGGAACCAGCAGATGGCTTACTGCTTCCATCACTGGACTCCCGCATAGTTAGCCACCGTTTGAGTCCTGGATCTGGTGGCTTAAAATTCTCTCACATGTATTTGCACATGCCCAAAATCCTGAGAGGAGAATAAAGGAGAAGGGATTGTGGCATGGCCATCCCCTCTGGGGGGGTGATTTCTCACTGTCTGTCTCTCTGTCTCTCTGGCACATAACATGTACCCTATAGACAAAAGAACTCTCTCTCTAAAAAAAAAGATAAACTAATTTTCATAGAAGAATAGTATACTTAAGAAGGCTAATATAATGGAATAAACATAACAAATGCTAAATATATGTATTCCTGGTTACCTGACTGGGATAGAACATCGAGAGTTAACCATATTTTTAGGTGTTTTCCATACTATGGGCTTAGAATAAGGAAATGTCGTGTTTGCCTTTTTAAAATATCGCCCCTGGGATCTAAGAATTTGAGAGCAGAGGGGGCCTTACAAAGCATTTGGAGTCCCTCATTGGTTAGCACTAATCTTGAAGAAATTCATGACTGGGATCTTCTGGTTACTTTCCAGAAGAAGTCCTCCCTTCTGCAGTTGGGGTGATCGTATCATTGATCATCCAGACTGTAGAACATGTAAGCGTGAAGGGACACTCATTAATTACAGGGACAGCAGGTGTGAACTGGGCCTGGCCCTGCAGCTTAGACTGCAGCGTCCCTCTATGCCCAGTGCACATTCTTCAAGGTAGGAATGTCTCCAGGTGAATTGGACTGACTCATCTTCACCTCCACCTCCACCAAAAAGACAAGAACACCTTCCACTTTAACTCTTTCAAAGACAGTTGGGGTGGAAGACTGTTAAAGGGTCCTTATAGCCTGTTCTTTACTCGCTCTTTTCTATACTCACTCAGTTGAAGATCAGGCACCTTCTATGATGTTAGGCTACATAGTATTAAAAGAAAAACTTTAGACAAATAACATTTCAGAGTGTTTAATTGAGCAAAGAATAATTCATGAATCAGGCAACCCCTGAACTGGTTCTGAGGAACTCTCGAACTGCCATGTGGCTGGATAATATTTTTAGGCAGAACAGAAAATGGAAGTGAGGTAGAAAAACTGGATTGGTTATGGATGGGCATTTGCCTTGTTTGAACATGGTTTGCAGAGTAGATCATCTGAGGTTGACTGAGCCCAGCTTCTGCAATTGGCTGTGATCCAGCTATTGGTTAGGAATCAGATTCGTAAGTTACGTTTTCAGTTTGTTCTTGTACTGTTAGGTTGCAGTTCATAGTAACTGAAATATGCTAGTATGGAAGCTTTCTTGGTCCAAATTTAGTTTGCTTTAACAATACAAGGAGTCTTCAAAAGTTTATGGAAAATGCATATTGAAAAAACTATGTATGGGCTTTACTTTTTTTTTCTTTTTGCACCAAGGTAAACTCATACTTTAATTCCACTTTCCCATGAACTCTTTGAAATCCCGTTGTATAGATTTTGGAAATAGCAGGGATGAAAAAACGTGATGCCTACCTATATGGGGTTTATAATTTCAAAGAGGAGGACTACGAGAAAGAAAAAAGCTGCCACTGAATCCGAAGTTGACCTCCACTGTCACCCACACCTCTTTTCTGAGGATCTGGCCTGGCTCTCCAAGTTAGAGCCTGAGTTCTGTTCAACATACACCACTCCCCATAACCCAGTGTCACACAAGCCACCTGAGACTGACAGACCAAGGCAGACACAAGACCCTACATCTTTATGTTGTGTAATGCTACTTTTAAATGCAAAAGCATAAGCATTTAGTTCATATGTTAGATCACAGAAGTTATATAGCTTATATTTCAAAATCTCATACATTTACATGCATTTTGTCCTTTTTCAAAAGCTTATTTTTTCTATGACCAAAAGTGAGAGAGAGAGAGACAATAAAAGAGGCAGTGATAGTAAGAGACACAAAAAGAGACCCAACACGGTCTTGACATCCATCAGACTGAGTCCCAGATCATTCTCAGGGAGGTCGCCAGATGCCAACTCCAAACCTGGAGTCAGCTAGTAGACTGTCACTGCTGTGCCATCGCCTGGCCCCTTCGTTTAGTTCTTACTATAATAGAACAGTGGACATGCCACCCCAAACTAATTCAACTATTTTAATTTTGCTCCTCGGTATTTGTACGTGTTACCAACACTCTGCCTTCAGGTTACTGAGGAGTTAAGTTGGCCAAAAAAGAAAAGGAACTGTGGGGTATCCTCTTTTCCCTCCCTTGGCATTGTTCTCAGTTTAAGTGGCTAGCTAACGGAAGTAAAAAGAGTCAGTAGGAAGAATATGTTAGGGCTTCTTGGTCATTCCTGTTTCTTTGAATTCCACTGCCTTCTTTCTGTATTCAAAGCAAGCTCTGGTCCAAGCTTCTGGTCCCAAAGGAAAGCTTGGTGACTGAACTGACAGCACCCCTGCTGGCTCAGTTCTGGAGGTACACCCTTACCTTGGGTTCATTCTGAGTCTCACTGAGCTCCACGCTGTGCTCATAGGCCACATGGATGCAACAAGTTAAGCAGGTGACAAGGAACAACAGATATATATCTTACATGGACCTATTCTGCTTATCTAATTTGCTCTAGTATCCCATTTGACTAACTTAAAAAAAAAAAAAACCCATGCTCAGGGGCCAGCTTGGAGGTTAAGGGCCAGATCCCATATGGTTGACTGCACTGCACTGATTGAGTCCCACACCCTGCAGCTTGAGAATCATGCCGGGCACGTGTACATGCATGGCCCAAATCCTGAGAGGAGAATAGAGAAGGAATTGCAGCATGGCCATCCCCCTTACGGGGTGATTTCTCACTTTCTCACATTTTCCCTACTCTCTCTTTCTCTGTCTCTGGACATGTTCTATAGCAAAAAGTAAACACAGCAACAACCAAAAAAACCCCTCAGGTTCAGAGATAAACATATTAAAGGCTGGACGGTGGCAGTAGAATGAAATGCTCCATGAGGCTGACCTACATGGGAAGGACTGAGGTTTGCATGTAGACACATCCCTGAGTATGGCAGGCAAGTGTACACCCATGATCCAGGGGCTGGGGGTGGGTCATGGCATCAAGTCCTTGTTGGAGTGGCCTCTGTGTCTGTGTGTGTGTGTGTGTGTGTGTGTGTGTGTGTTTCACTCATGGAAGAAACAAATATATAAAAAGAGATAAATGTACTAAATTTCCAGTCCAATATAACAACAGAGTATTAAAGTAAAGGTGAAACCATTCTCAGCATAGATTCTGCAGGACCATACGTTTCGTGTGCCCAGAGAGTCAGCCAGCAGTGTGGGTGTGCGTGATAAAAGGGACAGGGGAGAGTAGTGGGCAGTACACACGGCGGGCCCCTCCCGGTCGAGAGAGCACAACACCGGCAGCCCAGGCTCTAGGCAGTACCCTTGGATAAGTTACTTATTCTCTCTGTGCCCCAGATATTTGCTTGTAAAATGATGATAAAAATAATAGCTAACTCACAATGTTGTTGTGAGGATTAAGTTTTCATATATATAAACATGTAGAATCATAGTTCTTGGCACCTAGCAAGACCTGAATAAAGATTAGCTATTTGCTGGTGGAGATGAATGTATGAGTCTGTCATGGCTTCATAGCTCTGGCTCCTCTGAGGCCATGCTCAGCGGCCAACTTCCTGACAGTAATTTAGCAGCCTATATAAATCTGCATACAGGCAAAGACTGCTTGCCAGTCCCAGGTCTCATTGGAAAGTAATAAATAGGTATTCTGGTCTACAAATTCTAAAGCCCCAAACAAAAACCTACAGAGGGAAGTAATTAGGCCTGGCAAGGCTTTATGGTGGAAGTAGCCAATGCACAGGAATAATAATAATAGGGTGGAATAATAGGATGCAGTGTGGCATGGCCAGATACCATTGTTCTCTCACTTTCACGGATGAAGAAACGAAGGCACAAGGGAAACAGTCATTCACCAAACACAACGTGTGAAGTGGCAGGCCCGGACTTTGAACCCAGACTTGCTGTAGCCATGTGCACACTCCCACCATACACTCGGTGCCATCTCTCCATATATAGATATGAGGGACTTCCAAAAAAGTTTATGGAAAAATGGAATTAAAGTACAAGTTTATTTTGGTGCAAAAAAATATTGAGGGACCAGCAGGTAACATAGTGGTTAAGGCACTAGGCTCCCACGTAGCCAACTGCAATTCCAGTTCTGGACCTGGTGTCCTGAAATGCATGCCAGGTGTGTGTGTGTGCATGCCCAAAATCTCAAGAGGGGAATGCAGAAGGGATTGTGTGTGGCCACCCCTCCGGGGGGGCAAGGAGGGGATTTCTTGCTTTCTGTCTCTCCGTTTCTCTCTGTTTCTCTGGCAAGCACACACACCTATAGCAAAAAAAAAAAAAAAAAAAACTCAGAAAAATAATAATAAAATCCAAAGGTTTTTTTCCCCATAATATACATTTGCCAGGTACTTTTGGAAGACCCTTGGCATTGCTGCCTCTGAGGTTGTCAAACAACAGGCAGAGACACTGTGGGTCTTTCTCAGGGGAGCAATGGATCCAACCAGATACACAGAGGCAAGGAATGCTTGAGTGGCAGCTGAAGGGAAGAGCTGACAGTCACCAGGCGACACTACGGATGTCTTGCTTCATCTGGGAACATTAATGCTAGAGAGCTGCTCTTTGGGTTCTAAAAGCCGGAAGCAGTTCCAGAATTTCCATTTATAAGCAAGATAACAGTGGAAAGAAAGTTTCATGTTTGTCAGGAATTGGAGGCCTTTGGGAATGCATGGAGTCCATATAGGAAGTGTGTGTTCTGCTCAAACTATGACATAAAAGTTAAAATTGAGAGGGTGGGAACACCATTGTTTTTTTTTTCTTTTTCTACTTTTATTTATAAAGAACACAATTCCTCCCGACACAGACACGCACAATTTCAAGGAGGAGCCTATTAAAAACAACATGACAACAACAGAACTGGGAGAACAGTGGGACCTTATCTAACAACAGACCCTCCAGAGGTTTAGATGAAGTCCAAGGAGAAGGTTCTTCGAGAGGAGAAAAGGAGGAAGCAGTTAATGTCTTTGAGATGTTGGGAAAACAAACACCACTAAGATGTGAGGGAACCTCCTTGTGATTTCTCACAACACTACTGTGTGTGGACCAGTGCTCCTCCGTGCCCCATGAGGAAACAGACAACAGAGGACTGTCAGTCAGCCAAGTACGCTCGTGGTTGTACTTAACGTCTTACAGGGTACATAGGAAGCGTAATCTTGATCCAGTCTTCAAACACTGTCTCTCAATCTCAGACCTTGATTTGAGCACAAAGACAAGTGTGATTTGATCCAATGCTGATTAACCTAAAGTTGTTTTAGGAAAGTTCTTCCTATTAATAAAAAGCCTCTGATGTAAAAATCACATCATTATGGTTCCTGGTGTTTTTGATGAATGTGTATATGTGTGTGTACAGTTGATTTAGCATCTTAGGTCAGATTTAAACATTTTCAGCTCCTTTTGTCCCGTGGCAGTTCTTCCACACTAAGGAAGAGAGTACCCCAAACCCCTCTTCCTTCTCTTTGTTTGGAACACATTGAGGTCTCCCTGGAGTTATGTTCTGAGGTTTGACTTAATAAGGAAGAAAAAGGATGATGCTGTGGTTTGAATGTGTGCCCTAAAAGTTCTTGTTTAAAACTTAATATCCAGGGGCCTGCAGTTAGTATAATGGCTATGTCGCTGAACTCCCACATAGTCGACTACAGTTCGAGTCCCAGACCCTGTGTCTTAAATTCACTCGGGCACGTGTGCGTGCGTGCTGAAGATCCCAAGTGGAGAATGGAGGAGAAGGGATTGAGGTGTGGCCATCCCCCCTAGGGATATCTCTCTGTCTCTGTCTTTCTAGTGAGTGCACATGCCCTATAGCAAAATCTTCTCAAAAAAAAAAAACTTAATATCCAAATTCATATGGTAATGCTATTTGGAGTTGAGGTCTTTGAGAGATAATTAAGACTAGGTGAGGTCATGAGGGTGGGGCCCACCCAAATGATGGGATTAGTAGCTTTTATTTTTTTTTAGGAATTATTTTTATTTAATTTTAGATATTATTGTTATATTTTAATTTGACCAGAGAGTGACAGAGAGAGAGAGAGGGAAAGTGAGAGAGCAAGCTGCTGGGTCTAGAACTCAAACCATGGTCAGCCATGTGGGACCTTAACTACTATGCCACATGCTGGTCCCTTTTAAAAAATATATATATATTATTTTTATTTAATTTTATGTATCATTATTATATTTCGGGATTAGTGGCTTTTATAAAGCTACAGAAGTACACTCACTCTGCCTAGCCTAGCCACATGATGCCCTCTGCCTTGTTCTCATGCAGCAAGTGGCTATTTCCAGATGCCAAGCCATGCTCTTAGACTTCCCAGCCTGTTCTCAGCCCTGAACAAAATTAACTTCAATTTTTTGTGAATTATCCAGTCTGTGGTATTCAAATAAAGCAACAGAGACAGACCAAGATGGACAGCCAGGAGCATGCCTTTGACGTTCCAGTAGGCAGGACAGAGGTGCTGGCAGCTGCTTAGAGAAGAGAGCCCATTCTCTGCACTGATGTTCTAGCCCTTAAAGTTGATACTGGGCTCCAAGGTTCATCTCTGTCCTCCTTCTCGTTCCGCTTTGTGGAGCATCTATACGGGCCAGGCATAGCAAGCAGCCACCTCCTTCACAGTGCCCCTGCCTCAGCCCTCAGATATACCCTGCACACCCACGCAAGCTCTCAAGCCCTGGAGTAATGACCAGCCCTGAAAGTCCTGTCGTTGCATGCTTGACTAACTCAGGCACAGCTCGGGAATGGGGAGCGCCTAGTCAGGACTGTGCGTGTGTTGCAAAATCGCCATAGTTAATCACACAATTCAAAAAACCAAGGACAGAGATTACACCACATCGCTTGCTGTCAGATGTGCTGCAAATGAGGGGCCATGGAAAAAGACACTGAGACTTTATTTTTCCTTCTGGTTCACAGAGTTAATACAACCTTTGTTACTACTTGTGAAATTAAATGAAATGTAAGTATCTCATTAATAGTGTATTTGGCCAGGAACTAACTAGGAGGCCAACTTGAGTTTATAGAATGCCTAATATTTTTCTTATTTAAGAAATGCGTATTTTTTGGGACCAGCAGATAGCGTAGTGGTTACTCTCACATATTCGACCAGGACAGAGTCCCAGACCCAGCGGCTTAAAACTCACTCTGGGTGCATGTATGTGCGTGCCCAAAATCCTGAGAGAAGAATGGAAGAGAAGGGATTACAGTAGGCCAGCCCCTCTAGGGGGCGATTTCTCACTTTCTGTCTCTCTGTCTCTCTCTCGCTGTCTCTCCAGTGAGCTCACACATCCTATAGCAAAAGTCTCTCTTTTAAAAAAAAGTATATTTTCGGGCCAGCAGGTGGCGTGGTGGTTAAGGCTCTGATATCCCCACATGACTGACCACGGTTTGAGTCCTGGACCTGGTGGCTTGCTTTCTCACTTTCTTTCTCTCTGTGTGTCTGTCTTCTTCTGGCCAATTTAAAGTAAATTAATGAATAAACAAAATTAAATAAATAATTCTTTTTTAAAAAAACGTATATTTTTATGTGTAATAATAATGAGGACTAAGCTGCAGATGTTCTCTGCTGATTTAAGAATCTGGATAACCAGTCTTCACTCTGTCTCTGATAAGTAACAAATGACCTTCAAACGCCCTTCTTCAGGACCAGACTGACCTTAGTGGGTTTCTCAGTGGACCTCTCCACCTACCAGGAGAGTAAACCTGGGCATACCACAGCCTACCTTCTCTGTGTGTGGTTTCCCTTCTCATCAGCATCCCTTACAGTAATAAAATAGTCACCCCAGAGTTATAGAGTGATTCAATGAGACCCTGTATATAGAACCCTTTGCACATTCAAAACACACAGCTACTTTTCCATTCCTTAGCCCGGAGACCTTTGGGCATGTCACTTAACCTTATTGGGCTTCAATTCTCTCCTCCTCTAGCAGCTTTCAAAGATTACAGAGAATTGTAATTAGCATATCAAGCACCAGTTTAATTCTTGCCAGCTCCTGCTATCCCTGCAATTATGCTGTTTATATGTAAATGTCTAAATCCCTGAATGATGCCACCTCGCCTAACTAGGAAAACAGTGTCTCCTGCCTTGTTGACATTCCTCATTTTCTCAGAAAACCCTTGTTCCCTGAGAACACAAAAGTACACTTCCCACCAGTCCCTAAGGAACTGACAAGGTTGACACAACCCAGGTTGAATTCTCAAGATTTTCTTTGCATTCAGTGATGGGAACAGGAACACTCCGACAAGCGTGGAGTACCCCACCATTTGGTGAGAGGAGTGTCTGGTTTGGGGTGCAGCAATGGAAGCTGCTGCTTCTATTTGATCGGGGCTGTTGCAACTAGACACAACAGCCATTTGGAGCTTTTTTAAACTGAAAGGGAATTTTTCTTTTTATTGCCAGAGGGTACATGTGCTTTTCAGAAAGAGGAGAGAAAGCACCCACCCCCATGGGACCTGGTCACACCATCATCTCCTTCATTTCTCCATTCTGTCAGGAACCTGGGCACCCACACATGCACCCGTGTTTTACAAGCCATAGCGGTCACTTCACCTCTGTGCTACTGGGCCACTTTCAAGTGTCCTGAATTTCATCAAGGTGTGTGTGTTTCCAACAAAAGTCTGTATAGTCAGGAAGGTCTAACTGAGTGGGTCTTAAAATCTGCTGACTTGAGAACTAGTGATTTCAGGAAAAAAAAAGAGAAATGAAGATTTTCTACTGGGACCAGCAGTTAGTATAATGGCTAAGTCGCTGGACTTTCGACTAAAACATTGCTGATTCTCTTCTAGGCTTTGTTTTCCAGTTTTAAGGATTTTTGTTCTATTTTGAGCTGTCAATAGGTTCATGTACCTACTATTTGAACAGAATCTTAACCTGTTTCCTGGCTTTAAGTTTTAAGCAAAGTTCCTTAGTATTTCTTTGATTTATTGAAGTTAAAACTACTTTTCTTGAAATTACCAGCTGAACTTGCTATTAAAAGTAGATAGATTATATAACAAATTGTGTGATCAATAAAATACGGGGGAGAAAGGAATGGAAAACAACTGTAGACACCAGAGATAGTGTTGGATAAGGGTGGGAAAGGGTAGAGGGTCAGAAATAAGAGTGAAAATACATATATATATATATGTGTGTGTGTGTGTGTGTGTGTGTGTGTATTTATATATATAAAACTAGAAACAGAAAATTATTGATGATAACATGCATGATTAAGCCACTATGCAGTATATTCTGGATGGGAAATCACATATACTGTGATGATGGTTAGAGAATGAATGTAAATTAATTAAAAAATGTTTCAGAAAAAAAATCTCATGGAAATACTTGTAATGGGAAAACTATGTATGAATTTAGAAAGTTTTTGTACCAAACTAAATTCATACTTTAATTGTAGAATAAATTAAAAAAAAAAGAATCTGTTAACTTACTCTGTCTGCCCCCCAAATATCTGCATCAGCCTTAGTTAAGGCTTAGCCACTCAACAAATATATTTTGCCCGGGCTGGCAAGTGGCATGGTGGTTAAAGGTGCTGGACTTCCACATGGCCAATTATGGTTCAAGTCCTGGACATGATGGCTTGCTGTCTCACTTTCCCTCTTTCTCTGTCTCTCTCTGGTCAAATTAAAATAATAATAATAATAAATAAAGATAAATAAAATAATTTTTAAAACATACATACATTTTGCCAGTGAATACATTGCTTCAGCCCTCAGAGTCTCATTAAGGAGCCGTTCTAGAAGCAAGAATAATAGAATTGAGCTGTGTCAAAGGAGATGGGTGCTAAGGTGGGGCATGAAGGAAAGAGAAAACAGTTTTCTTTTGATGTAGGTGAGAGGGGCAAGAAAGGAATGATCTAGAAAGAAGATAACTATTTTTGCCTTTTCCAAATTTTGTTCCCCCAATTATGAGGGCTTCTTCCCTGCTCTTCATTCTAAGATGAAATGCTAGCTCTAGCCATCTGCCAAGTTGTGAGACCTCCTGTTTGGGGACCTGATATTGTCCCCAAGCTAAATGTGTCAGCTGGAAATCGGCATCACTAACTAACAACTGCAAGCAAATCTGAGTTTTCTGACTTGCTTGGGCATGTTCCTGTGAGGAGAGCTCACATTAACCTCCTTATTAACCTCTTTCT